CAGCTTGATATCACAAGTTCATCAAATTTCACAGTATTGGAACAGAGTGATGGCTACTTACAAATATCAATGTTTACTTCAAGCACATAATTTTACTGGGTGCCTCGGTTCCTAGTTGTTTCAGAACTTAATAGTAAATGTGTGTAGCACTGCTCTCGTAAGGGCCGCTGGATTTCATTGGGTCCTCTTAGGTTTGCAAGGCCAAGCAAGACGAATTTTCCACACTTATGCTCTGAGCCAGTAAAACAGTCCTTGAGCTGGTTTGTAGTTGTTTTTATAAAGGGGTTAAGGACTTAGATAGGGTTTAGGGGTATATGGGATGCCCAAGGAACTGGGGAACTCGAGGACAAACTTCTTAGCAACTATGTACAAAAAGGATGGACTGGCAAAATAAAGCGGATATAGCATGGTCTCTTTTTTCTCTTGGTGTAGCTCCTTAGACCCCAGATGAATCCTCCTCTTCACCCCGCTGTGCTTAGGGTATCCCTGAGCAAGGGGGTCCAAAGAGCTTTGCAATCAAGCAGTCCCAGGTGAAGACTAGTTGGGTATTGCCTATCTGGCCTAGGGGTGTAGGTGTATTCACACTGTCCTGTCCTGTAAGCATGGTGGGTTGGTAGCTGCTTTCAGGCCTTTTACTGGGCTGGCTCCTTCCCTGATAACAGGTTGTCCTCTTAAGGAGATGTTGAGGTAGCAGAGATCCTCCCGTCCAGCAACCAGCCTGTAGGCAGGCTCCCCTCTCTGGGGCCCCCTCCCAGTCTCCACACTCCAGCCTTTGCTCAGTTCATCTTTCACCCAACTCCCATCTCTCCCCAGGCTCTGTCATATTTGAGGGTTGCCCTGAAAACTATGCCCATCCTCCTGCCGGGGATTGGCCAGGGTCCCTCAAACATGCAGATCTAGGCTTCCTCCGCTCCTCCTCCCCTGTTCCAGAAAGTTCTCAAGTTTCTTGAAAGGTGGGAGGGCTCCAGAAGCCCTGACCTGTAGAGCCTTACAACCTGACCTGAGGTAAACTCCTGCCTCACTCCCAGACTGAGTCATCCCACGCTGCTACTCAGCCTCTATGTAAATAAAATTTAAAAAAATAAAACAACAAACATACCTCGGAAACCTAGAGGGTGGTACATGTGTTTCAATTGTGTTTGGTAATGTGTAAAATATAGGTCAATGTGTGAGTGCACATGCTGAAGTGTTTTTAAGCATTTCCATTTTTTCACATGGAGCACATGTGCAATAAAAAGGACAATTGTGAACACAGCCTAAAATATAGTTTTATCAGGAATATTTTTATACAAAGCTTTGATTATGGCTGTACAACACTGCTGGTCTTCACCCAGTAGTGCAGTTGGGAAGGCAAAACTAATGATTGGCTATGAGCTGCAATTGGGAGTCATGCATTACTGACAACAGAGTGAGGTACTACCTCAGCTGGAAAGTATCAGATGAAATACACAAAAGCCAAATCAGTTGTCTTAAACCAAAGCTGAAAATTTGGAAACCACCCACTAGATCAAAATATGACCCCATCTTATCTGATCCAATTTGGATTGGCTAGCCTAACCACTTGACCTCCAGTAGGTTTCCCCCCCCCCCCCCCCCTTCCCATTACTATGGCATTTTTTGCTATTCAGCACTGTGCTACTTTAACTGGCAATTGTGTGGTCATGCAATACTGTACGCACATTCAATCTGTATAATTTAGTTTCACACGAATAGAACTTTGTTTTGGTAGTATTTTATCACCACTGGGTTACGGTATTTATTTTTTGCTACATAAATGAAAAAAAGACCACAAATTTTGAGAAAAACGATATTTTCTACTTTCTGTTATAAAACATATCCAATAAAATCTAATTTCTTTATAAATTTAGGCCAAAATGTATTCTGCTACATGTCTTTGGTAAAAAAAAAAAAAACCCTAATAAGTTTATGTACTACTACCCCCTCAAGGGTTGCTTAGTAATTATTTTAGGTTCCCTGTCAATGTGAACCTTTTGTTGCAAGCCCAACCTCTGCTGACACCACTGTGCTCCTATAACCAAAGTAAATCACAATTGAAAAATGGATTCACACACAAGCTAGTATAAACAAATATGAAGTTTATATTGGAATCAAAGGTAACTTTGTCAAAAAGAACAAAATGACATTGATATGTAGCAAATATAACCACTCTTGGTAATTGTGAGCAAAAGTAAACACATCAACCATAAAGCAACAATAACGGTTAGCAGGCCTGCTTTTAGATATAATACATGGCCTCTAATCTGAGGAGACTGCTGAATCCCCAGTGAGCAGAAAACAAGTAACAAGAAACAGGTAAGCTCACTGTGGGTCTTTAGAACTTGATGACAAGGATTAGATGTGAACGAAAGTGAATTCTCAGTTGAAATTGAGCACTGTCCCTTTAAAAACACTACAATCTCTTCTGCACGCTCGTTTGGGCTCAGTTAGTATGAAGTTAAGTTGAGGTGTGGGATATAGTTCCTTGGGATGGCAACACAAAGATAGTGAAGGAAAAAAGGAGATTTAACACCTTTCCTCTTGGTGGTAGTGAATTAGGGCAGGGTCCCCTTTAAAACACTCAGCATGGGGCAGATTTAATAAAATAATATTCATATCAATTGCTTCTATTCATTATTTGAAATGTCTAAAGGCAAAGACAGCTCCCTTTTTACATCAAAGGCAAAAGTTAACAGTAATGGGAATCCTGCTTTGTTGAAGAAGGGTAACTTGTTGTATCAGTTGGCACTGCTGTATCCTGGCTTGCAACTGTACAGTTGCAAGAAAAAGTATGTGAACCCCTTGGGATTACGTGGAGTTTTGCATGAATTGGGCATAAAATGTGCTCTGAACGTCATCTAAGTCACAACAATAGAAGAACACAGTCTGCTGAACATAATACTACACAAACATTAGAGGTTGCCATGGTTTAATTGCACATAACATGTAACCATTCACAGTGCAGGGAGGACAAAGTATGTGAGGCCCTAGCTTAATGACTTCTCCCAGAGCTAATTGGAACCAGGAGTGAGCCAACCTTGACTCCAATCAGTGTGATGATATTGGATGTATTGCTGACAGCTGTCCTGCCCTTAAAAAACACACACCTGTTTTGGGTTTACTGGTTTGAAGAAGCACTGTCTGATGTGAACCATGCCTTGCAGAAAAGAGCTCTCAGAAGACCTACGATCAAGAATTGTTGACTTGCACGAAGCTGGAAAGGGTTACAAAAGTATCTCCAAAAGCCTTGATGTTCATGTGTCCACGGTAAGACAGACTGTCTACATATGGAGAAAGTTTAGCACTGTTGCTACTCTCCCTAGGCATGGTCGTCCTGTAAAAATGACTGCAAGAGCACAGTGCAGAATGCTGCATGAGGTAAAGAAGAATCCCAGAGTGTCAGCTAAAGACCTACAGAAATCTCTGGCACATGCTAACATTTTTGTTGACACATCTACAATAAGGAAAACATTAAACAAGAATGGAGTACATGGGAGGACACCACGGAGGAAGCCATTGCTGTCTAAAAAGAATATTGCAGCACGTTTGAAGTTTGCAAAAGAGCACCTGGGTGTTCCACAGCACTACTGGCAAAATATACTGTGGACAGATGAAACCAAGATTGAGTTGTTTGGGAAGAACACACAACACTATGTGTGGAGAAAAAAAGGCACAGCACACCAACATCAAAACCTCATCCCCACTGTAAAACATGGCGGAGGGAGCATCATGGTTTGGGGCTGCTTTGCTGCCTCAGGGCCTGGACGGATTGTTGTCATTGATGGGAAAATGAATTCCAGAGTTTATCAAGACATTTTGCAGGAAAACGTACGACCATCTGTCCGCCAACTGAAGCTCCGCAGAGGATGGGTGATGCAACAGGACAATGACCCAAAGCATACAAGTAATTCCACAAAACAATGGCTGCAACAGCACAGAATACGCCTTCTGGAGTGGCCCAGTCAGAGTCCTGACCTCAACTCGATTGAAATGCTGTGGCATGACCTTAAGAGAGCGATTCACACCAGACATCCCAAGAATATTGCTACACTGAAACAGTTTTGTGAAGAGGAGTGGTCCAAAATTACTCCAGATCGTTGTGCAGGTCTGATCAGCAACTACAGGAAACATTTGGTTGAGGTTATTGCTGCCAAAGGAGGGTCAACCAGTTATTAAGTCCAAAGGTTCACATATTTTTTCCTCCCTTATATAAACTTATATATATATATATATACTGTATATATATATATATATATTGCCAAAAGTATTGGAACGCCTCCCATTACAGGCACATGAACTTTAATGGCACCCCAATCTTCGTCCGTAGAGTTCAATATTGAGTTGGCCCACCCTTTGCAGCTATAACAGCTTCAACTGGCTATAACAGCTTCAAGTGTGTCTATGGGAATGTTTGACCATTCTTCCCGAAGCCCATTTGTGAGGTCAGGCACTGATGTCAGAGGAGAAGGCCTGGCTCACAGTCTCTGCTCTAATTCATCCCAAAGGTTGTCTATCGCATTGAGGTCAGGACTCTGTGTAGGCCAGTCAAGTTCTTTCACCCCAAACTTGCTCATTCATGTCTTTATGGACCTTGCTTTGTGCACTGGTGCGCAGTCATGTTGGAATAGGAAGGGGCTATCCGCAAACTGTTCCCACAATGTAGGAAGCATGAAATTGTCAAAAATGTATTGGTATACTGACGCCTAAGAGCTCCCTTTACTGGAACTAAGGGGTAAAACCCAACCCCTGATTAACAACCCCACACCATAATCCCCCCTCCACCAAACTTTATACTCGACACAATGCAATTAGGCAAGTACCGTTCTCCTGGCAACCACCAAACCCAGACACATCTATAGGATTGCTAGACAGAGAAGTGTGATTGATTGGTCTCTCCAGAGAACACGTCTCCGCTGCTCTAGAGTCCAGTGGCAGCATTCTTTACACCACTGCATCCAATGCTTTGCATTGCACTTGGTGATGTAAGGCTTGGATGCAGCTGCTCAGCCATGGAAACCCATTCCATGAAGCTCTCTACACACAGTTGTTGTGCTAACCTGAAGGCCACGCAAAGTTTGGAGGTCTTTAGATATTGATTCTGTAGATAGTTGGCGACGTCTGCGCACTGTGTGCTTCAGCATGCGCTGACCCCGCTCTGTCAGTTTACATGGCCTACCATTTCGTGGCTGAGTTGCTGTTGTTCCCAGTTGCTTTCACTTTGTTATAATACCACTAACAGTTGACCGTGGAATATTTAGTAGCAAGAAAATGTCACAGATGAACTTATTGCACAGGTGGCAACCTATCACAGTACTATGCTTGAATTCACTGAGCTGAGAGTGACCCATTATTTCACAAATGTTTGTAGAAGCAGTCTGCATGCCTAGGTGCTTGATTTTATATACCTGTGGCCATGGAGGTGATTGGAACACCTGAATCCAATGATTTGGAGAGGTGTCCCGATACTTTTGGCAATACAGTGTGTGTATATATATATATATATTTGAAAATTGATCAGTCCTGATGTACAGACGGCCTATTTTATTTCTTGAGGCCCTTAAAATGCCAGGGCAGTACAAATACCCCCCAAATTATCCCTCTGTGGAATGTAGACAGTCTGAGGTACTTAGTAAGAGGAATGAGTTTTTATTTTTTGTCTCTATTTTTTGGAAAATGAAGAAATTAAATAAAATGTGATTTTTTTTTCCCCACATTTTTTTTTCACATACTGTGAAGTGCAGTATAACATAATTTGATCAGGGATACTGACTGGCAATAGTATATTTAAAAAAAAAAAGCTTAAATAATTTTGAATTTAATTTTTTTTTACTTTGTTTTATATATACTTCCATCAGAGTAGTTTAGTGTTACCAATGTACTACTTTGGGCTTTGATGATCACTGTAACAGCAATGTTTTGAACTGTCATGAATATGTTACATTCATAAGAGCTGTGATTACTATTGCATGTTCTGATTGGCCCACAGCTATCACATGGAACAGGGTACTGTGATTGGCCTAGGTAACATGTGACAGCTGTGGTCAATCACATTGTCACAATATTAAGCACAGCTTAATAAAATCCATTCATAACAGTTGTGTTTACATTTTGATAATGTGTTTGTATAGTGATCATGTGATACCCTGGCTGCTCAAAACAGTTGGGTACTGGAAGCCACAATCTGTCCGGTGGACACAGTGGATGCAGGAGCAGCATCCTGTGCTCCCATCAGCTGGCGATGTGCAAGATCCAGCCTGACCGTGCCGCCTGCCTGCAGTAAATGTACTGTGGGTGGGTACTGGTTTAAACTAATAACTTAAAGATTGCAGAATAGATCAACTTGACATATGGGCAGTTTAATATAGCTCAGGAGACCTCTAGTATGTGGTACACTGGGACTGATTCACTAAACAATTAGAGTAATTTAAGAATGTCATCTTATCTTAGTGAATAAGTTAAAGCTGTGTTCATGTTAATGACTCAATCATTTGCAAGAAAATCACATTTTGCTTTAATTTACCTTGCACATGATGGGGTATTGAACAGAACACCAGGGATAGGTCCTGGATGGTAAATATGTAATGTCATTATTTGGGTTATGGTCCCTTTACAGGGATCTCAGTGGGTTAATCTACCTTTGAGAGGAGTCTGAGAGGAGGTCTTGCATGTGGAACAGGACTGAGTGTGAAGGAGCCCTGGGCTGTTTGGCTGCTGAGACGCTCGTGGACTATTTGTGACATTTTCTAGACCCCTGAAGCAGGCAGGGACTTTAAACCTTGTTGTGGGACAAGTTTATGTTGGCGGTGAACCAAAGCTAATTTTTTTTGCCTTTTTTTGAGAAATAAAGACTGTTCGTTTCACAAAGACATGGCTGGCTAGTGATATGGATCCGAGAATATTACAGTATACATAGTAAGCATAGCTTCATTGTATTCACTTTGCAAAGTCGTCATTCTCTACTCCCTACTTTAACTGGTGAATCTGCAATCCTGTTAATCTGACTAAACATTTGTTCACCCTTAAATATGTAGCATCTATATGTTTTGAAAAGTTACACAGAGGAAAAAAAAAATTTCTATTTATTCATTTAAACTATATTCTGCCAAGTTAATTGCATTTAAAAAGCAAACTGAAGTGTTGAATGTTCACTCTATGTAGCTCTTTAGGCACACAAGTGGCACCATCAGTTCTTTCATCATTGTAATTGCCCCCACCCCTGGTGCCAGGAATATCAAATGCTCTGATATACACTTACGTTGCCTATCACAGTAACAGGCAAAACTGTTTGATGCTTTCCACTTTTGCAATTTGGACGTCAACACAATAAATATGGCACTTCATTCTTGCTTAAAAAACACACAGCCACATTAGGGTAGCCTAATGATTTCACAGTAACTCCTGTTATCCATTCACAAATGACTCCAGTTAAGTAGATGTGCAATACATTTATTTCAATATTTGGCATCAATACAAGTTTGTTAGTTTCTCACAGATCTATTAAATACAGAAAAGAAACATAAATCTTGTTTGTTGGTGCTGCATTTTCTGTGTGATTAGACCCAGGAGAAAATTACTTACTCTGTCCTTGTGATAAATCAGTACAGATTTATTGTAGCAGATAGAGCATGGATTCTAGTTTAGGAAGTTTATTTTGCTTTTTTCAATCTCAATATAAATTTCTGCAGCCTAACGCATTGCATCCATATAAATAGGAAAAAACACCATTATAAAGGCTTACCCAGAGCTAGAACCTGAGATGAATTTCTTTAACCATTCATTAAGGTGAAGTACTTATAAAACCTTGAAGTCTGCAATTTTTTCCCCCTTTATGGCAAAAAGAAATAGAGTATGTCTGATAAAAGTACTGTTACAGTTATATAGCTTTCTTTAAACATATCAATTTGTAAAATAAAGAGATACAGCATACCTTTAGGTAGGATTTTCTTTCTTAGCTAAGATACTTTCTATATATTATTTTGACAGCACAATTGCCATTCAGGATTTCAGACATAGCAAATGCTTTGATCAGCTGATACACAAGTAACATACATCAAAATGTTTTTATGAATTTGGAAAGCCGAAAGTTTGGAATGGAATGTAATAAAAGCATTATTTACTAATATGTATTTTTTTTTCTTTTTAATAGTCATAATTATGGAATGCACCTGTGCTGCGGAGGTCCCCCACAGCTGGATTGTAACCTATTTGTATTTTATTCAACAAGCATCATGTGCATATAGAAAGATAATCTTGTTTTGCGCAATAAAAGGAGGTTCACAACATGCTGAAACATTTCCAAATATCCACAAAGCTTGTGTTGATAAAGCAATATGGAAACACCCTTGACCTTGTATATCCTGCCTCTGCACTCAATGCGACCTCTCTAACACCCCTCTTTTTCTGTCTCAAATCATAACCTTATCAGTTTCATGCTCACCCTGTCTTCAACCTCCTATCTGTTCAAACCACAAACAGTTACCCATAGGAATCTTTTCCTCTTCAACCATTATCTTTTCTATTATGCTACTGACTACCTCTTCAACAAAATCCCAACCCTGCCCTGCCTTGACATGGCCAATTCAGTCTACAACTGTGCACCCTCTTCTTCCCTGGACACACTTGCTCTCTTAACTTCATACAAAATTAGGCCCCAACCGCTACAACCCTGGCAAATCAATGACACCAGAAATCTCACACTACATAGCCACGCTTCTAATTGTAGCATAAACGTTTTAGCAAGATTATACCCTGTATAAAGCTCTGCTTCGAAAAGACAATTGCTTCCTCCATGCTGCCATACTGAGCTATTGCATCACTCTCATAACAACCCTCTCTTCCTGTCCTTGTCAACTCTTTTCTATTTTATCTGCTACTGTACCTCCCTGTCAGAAACTATGTTGTTGGGTATCCCGTGTAGTGTTACTATCTCCTTAATAAATGCTTGATCAGTTTCAGTAGCAGAAGGAGTACCCGCCATGGGCAGGAAGTGAGCCTTTTTGGACTGTCTAACCACTAATCTCCCTTTTGATTTTAAAGGGTCCAATGAACCTGGGACCTAGTTTTCGTGAAGGACAAGCAAGTTTGAGATTGATTGTAGCAAGCCACACTTTGTCTCCCACTTTCCACCCAGGGTTACCCCTCCTCCTTTTATCAAATTGTTTCTTGTAATCCTCCTGAGCTTTTTGCATGGTCCTCTGGAGTATCTGGTAATTGGATTGTATGAAAGTTAACCTATCCTGGACTGCAGGTACTGATGCTTCTGGAATGGCATCCGGAACGAAGGAAGGGTGAAAACCGTAATTTGCCCAGAAAGGAGACTGGTTGGTGGCAGCATGGACAGAGTTGTTGTAGGCAAATTCTGCACAGGGAAGAAGAGATGCCCAGTTATCCTGAGAGAAGGTGAGGAAGCATCTTAGGTATTGCTCCAAAGTTTGGTTAGTTCTCTCCGTTTGCCCATTACTCTGTGGATGATAAGCAGAAGAGAGACATACTTCGATATTTAGGGTTTTTCACAAAGATCTCCAAACTTTGGATGTAAATTGTACCCCCCACTCAGAAACTATATTGTTGGGTATCCCGTGTAGTCTTACTATCTCCTTAATAAATGTTTGAGCAGTTTCAGTAGCGGAAGGAGTACCCACCATGGGCAGGAAGTGAGTCATTTTGGACAGTCTATACACTACCACCAGGATGGTGGTGAATCCCTCAGAGGGAGGTAAGTCCACAATAAAATCCATAGACATCATCTTCCAAGGCTGTTCCGGAACTGGTAGGGGTCTCAGCAAGCCCCAGGCTCTGGTATGGCTGTCCGCTCTGGTATGGCTGTCCTTATTGCACAGACAAGTTGTGCAGGAGTTAACATACTCTTTACAGTCCTGTCTCGGGTTGGGCCACCAAAAGGATCTTTGGACAAGTTCAGTTGTTTTCCATACCCCGAAGTGACCTGCAAGCAAGTGGTCATGGCATATCTTAAATATTTGTGGCCTGACTTCTTGGGGAACGAAGATCTTGTCCTCATGCCACAAGAAATCCTTATGCTTCCTTAAGGATGACCTCTCGGACCCGGCATATGAAAGTAAGGCTTGTTTAATTGCTGCTTTTAGATCAGGCTGAATGAGTAGGAAATTATGTGAAGATAAAATAGTAGTGGGAGCAGCTGTTTGAGGAGTGTCTGGGAACATACGGGACAGGGCATCTGCTTTCCCGTTTTTAGACCCAGGACAGTATGTGAGATAAAAATTGAATCTTGAAAAGAATAAGGCCCATCGAGCTTGGCTTGGTTTTAACCGTTTTGAGGTTCGAAGATATTCCAAGTTCTTATAATCGGTAAAAACCATGATAGGGTGGGCAGTGCCTTCCAAGAGGTAGCACCACTCTTCCA